TTCTTCAGCCGCCTGAAAAAATGGACATATTTCCAGTCGTGACATCGATTCCCTTTACAACCAACAAGGGAACATACTGAAGAACATATGCGTTTCAGCCAATGGTTTCGCTTGGACCATCCAAGTAACCCCCCAGTTTCTTGGGGAATCGCCCCGGTTTTTCCCCCCTTAAGGCCAGCGAGTACACCAGCGGTTTGCTTCATTGGCCGTGGGCTCGCATGGATCCATGGATCGATTTCCAAACGGTTTTTGGGGGCTAATGTTGACCCAGGATCTAAGCCTTGTCATTCTTAGGGTGTTCCCTCCAAAAGTGGTCTGAATCCAACCACTAAAAGGGGACAAACACCCCCCGATTAAAATCAAGCAGGGGTTTAACTTCATCCGGGGTTAACATTATGGATTTTTGGACCGGACACCTGTTCCCACCCCGTCCCTTGTTGTTCTTTTTTCTCTCATTCTCGTTTTCCAAGGCCAGCGCACAAGCAACAGGACCCCCCACATGCGAAGCCGTGCCCGTCTCCGTAGGCTAGATCCTGTTCAACAAGCTCTTTGCGTAAGGGACTCACAAGGCAAACCTTGAGTGGACCCACAAAAAACAAATGGAAGCGGACCAACATGGGAGCACCTTGAAAAGTCAAAGGTCATTGTTGAAAAGGTGAGAATACCACCATCATATCCACCCTGTGGCTTCCTTTGAGCTACATCAGACATGAACTATCTAGCGTCCACTTGAGCAAGCAGAAGCTGATACTCGCCGCGAACCCGCCACGGACAATGCAAAAGCAAGCAGGCGCCGTTTTTCCAACGCGGTCCATGCCTTTCACGCTCTGGCTTATAACGTGGACATTTTGCCAAGTCAGCAACCCACTAACAGGGTGGTTAAGTCCACTTGAAAGGACTACCTGGATTGCATCCTAAACCATCAACCATGAACGAAATATGGGATATACACCATTTACAATTCTGCCCGAACAACCAACCGCCTTTCTTGAGAGAGGGCTTCCCACTTGACAGCAAACAAAGCACAGCTGGGTGATGTCAATCCAAGTCCAGGCATAAACTGGGCCTCGCTGAAGGCTCAAACCTTGCTTGCTAACATTGATGCTGCAAGCCATGAAACTCGACCTGCAGGATCTGCAGGATCGACAACATTCGTCAACTTTTGCCACGCGTCCAAACCTTTTTGTTCATGGGCCCATTAAAGCGACATCGAGTCAAAACTATACTGTAACCGGCGGTTTTTCAAGGACAACCACCACTCAAACAGAAGAGTTCTCAGTCATACCTTTTAGGGGAAATAGATGGTAGATGATTCAACCACCAAGTAAACCACCTATGTTCTCAGTGGCAAGCTTCCCACGGTGATCTAAACGAGCCATCACAAGCTCCTCTGCACGAGCCCGTCCAGGATCGAGAAGAATTCATCGGTGCCGAAGATCTGGCAAGTGCAAGATATGGCCATGGCTCAAAATCCCAAGCCCGTACCCCCCAGCGAACATCCGATTCTAAAATGGGTGGTGCACCTATGCCAAAAGAGTACCATTGGTTTTGAACCATGGTCATATGTGGACAAACTTGTTGGTTTTTGTGAAACAATCGTCGGACCACGGGGGTTTCGATGGAGTTGATTTGAAGGGGAAGCCCGAGGACACTTGTTTTGGATGTTGGCCTTTCTTCTTTTTGGAGCAGTTTTGGGAGTAGAACCAGGGTTGCTGACCACGTACTAGCAACACGAAACAAAGCCAAACTGGGCAAGGTTAAGTGTTTCATCATTCCCCCACTAAACATAGGAGGCTGGAATCCGATAAAACTGCGAAGCCTCAAGGGCTGAGTGGCGTGGTTGTCGAAAAATCAGGCTTGCTGTCATATCAAAGGAGGGCATCCCCATGACTCCTTTATCACTTCAGAAAACGGTTACCTGGGTTTAGAAGTTGGCAACCTAAATCTTATCCTTCCACATAGTTTACAGCAGTTGTCTGGCTCAATGGCTGGCTCGCTTGCCCACAGGACCTGAAATTAACGTTTGGAACCTTGACGAAACATGGCTGCCAAAACGGGAACACCGCTTTCAAAGTCCAAAGGTGGATTTGCTCAAAATAAGGAGAACCCCCTCTTACAAAAACAGCAGAAACATGTCTGTTTGGCTTCCCTTTGAACCCACCCCCCGAAGCAGCTACATGGCGCCCGCCCCAAATCAGAGCAGGGGACCGGAAGTCACCGCAGGCACCCCAACCGCGCATGGGGCACGCATAAAACCGAAAGTCACGGCAGGGCGCCGAAAGTCAGACGTCGTGCAAATCCGCATGGCACATCGCATGTCAAACTGCAACATTGGAATGTCTGAAACCTTCAAAACCATGCGTGTGATAGTTCAAAGTGCAGCTTCTTGCCGAAAGTCAGAGCACGTGGTGCAACATTGGAATGTCTGAAACCTTGAAAACCATGCGTGTTGATAGTTCAAAATGGAGTTTCTGCATGCCGAAAGCCAGAGCACGGGCAACATTGGAATGTCTGAAGCCTTCAAAACCATGCGTATGCAGTTTCTGCATGCCGAAAGTCAGAGCACGTGGTGAAAATTCGCATGGCACATCGCATGTCAAAGTGCAACATTGGAATGTCTGAAGCCTTCAAAACCCTGCGTGTGATAGTTCAAAATGCAGTTTCTGCATGCCGAAGGTCAGAGCACGTGCAACATTGGAATGTCTGAAGCCTTCAAAATGCAGTTTCTGTATGCCGAAAGTCACAACACGTGGTGCAAATCCGCATGGCACATCGCATGTCACAAGTGCAACATTGGAATGTCAAAACCATACGCTTGATGGTTCAAAATGCAGTTTCTTCTGCCGCCAGACCCTTGGAACAAACCCCATTCAAGATGTGTCACTTATGCTTCTCTACTAGTCATCCCCTTAATGAAAAGACACCCTAGCTCCCAGTCATCAAAATGGTTGTTGAACATATATCTTGAACATGGCTTCCAGGCGAGGTCCAGGCGAGGTCCAGGCGAGGTGCAAAGTTGGCCGGACAAGCCAATGGCCCACATGACAGGCAAGCAAGCAAGCAAGCAAGCAAGCAAGCAAGCAAGCAAGCAAGCAAGCAAGCAAGCAAGCAAGCAAGCAAGCAAGCAAGCACGCAAGCAAGCAAGCAAGCAAGCAAGCAAGCAAGCAAGCAAGCAAGCAAGCAAGCAAGAGCAAGCAAGAGCAAGCAAAAGCAAGCGCAAGCAAGCACAAGCAAGCACGAACAAGCACAAGCAAGCACAGGCAAGCACAAGCAAGCGCGAGCAAGCAAAAGCAAGCGTGAGCAAGCAAGCAAGCAAGAGCAAGCAAAACCAACCAAATGGTCAGAACATGCCTCTACCCGCAAGCGCAGGAGCACGCGATAGGTAACAAAGCTGCATGGGGGCACCCGACCAGGACGACTTCCCCAAAACAAAGGCAGCGCCAGTTGGGCGGAAACACAACGGGCCAGCAATCACATGGTCAGAACATTTCCTCTACTGGAACACGTGGTTCGCAACAAAACTGCATGCGGACGCCTGCTCAGGACAACGTCCCCGAAACAAACACACGACAAGGATTGAGCGCAAACACAAGGGCACACCAACAAAATGGGCATAACAGGCCTCGACCCAAAACGACAATCGACAGTTCGAAAAGCATGCGGGCACGCAGTGAAATCACACTATGATGAAAATATTAAACCAAACCTAACTGCGCAAAAATATGCCATACATTGGCGGCACGCAGCCCACCACGACTGTTGGTCGCCGCCACGACTTAGGGCAACCACTAGTACTCTTAAAAGTCGATTTTTGAACTGCTCACCCCGCTTCGGCACAAGTCCCCAAGCCCAAGAAGCTGAACTCTGCCCGTTTTCGGATTCGTGGCGAAGTGGAGAACTTGTGGGTTGAAGAAGCGGACACTACCACGAAATCAATCCCGAAAAGTCAAGAAAACCCAAGATGGCTGAGCTTGAACCAAGATCCAGGAACGGAGTTTTTCTGGGTCCAAAATTAGAACAGGACATCGGCCGCAGAACTCGTCCTGTCCATTCATCAGGGCGACCGTCCATTTTGGGGTTACTCGATTTCTGGCACAGCCTCCGGCCCCCTGCAGCTAGTTTTGAATTTCCCCACCCTCAGGAGTGATCCTGTGATTTTCTCAGGGTACCCTGCCTCCCACGAACATACTGTGGATGGTTGCGAAATCTATTTCGCACCACCTAAGAAGCCCTGGCATGATGATTCGGCT